GAAAAGCTTCAACTCAATCCAAAGAGCAATGAGAAAAGACTTGAAAATGAAATCATACATGAAACCTGTGAGCACCTTGTTAATCCAGGACAGAAAGTTAGAAGCTTAGAGAGGGCAAAGATCATTGTGAATAAATTGGAAAATGATCCCGGAATAATATATATATATATATATATATCTTAACCTTATTTCAATCCTTCACTAGCTTCTGATCTTTAGCGCTATGATTAATCAATGATGAACATGTCATTTTCATTTATGATTGTTTTCATCATACTTCTTCTGTTAAACTTAGAGAGTAATTATACATTCTAATTGCTCAAAGTAGAGTCCAATAGTGTTATAAAAACCTCAGAAAATTCCTGTCAGATATCTTTAATCATATCTAAGATAAAACAGTTCAAAGCTTAATCTAACAAAGAACAATTTTGCTTTTACATGATTTGGAAAATTTTGCCGTTACACCCAATGTATATATATACATAAATATACATAATATATCTAAATTATTTAATCAAACATGCTTGAATATATATGTAAGAAGTTAGGATGAGGTCTGAAGCTTTGCCTCAACAAAAAACATGCCTATGCATGTATGTTTGTTGTTCTAATTACGGACCTGTGACTTTAATTTAAAACCTTTCTTTGTGAGTGTATTTTTAGATGCCTTAGTCATCTGCTACAAAAAATGAAATCCTAGATTGTCCAGCAGTCTTGTGTTCTAATTTACGACCATTATGAACAAGTGTTTAACTATGCTGATACCGGTCTCTTGTCTTAGAAAAGAATGATGTACTAATGTTTTCTACTTGTACATGCTGTGTCCATTCAGGATGTTGACAGTTATGGCTCTCCCCAATTTCCTGTCCTTTGTAGCTCTTAATAAATTTTTGTTATCTCTCTTAAACTCTGTTCTGCTATTCATTTACACATACCCGCTAGCTATGTTATACATTGTTTTCCTCTGTTCCTCTTGCATTCAATCTGTCTTCTGGGTACCAAATTTTCCATGTTCACTTTCCTCATTATGTGTTCTAGAAATTTCAACTGTTTCTTCCTGATGTTAAGTATAAGTATCCTTTTTGCTTCTATTTTCTCTAAAAATTCATTGTTGATCACATGTTTGGTCCATACAGATTCTTAAAAGTTGTATTTAGTTTCCTTTACTATTCCAGCTGGAACATGTTAATGCAAAAGTGTATTCAAGAGTTTTCATCAAAGAAGGAAGACATTAAGAATTCCTTTCATGTGAAAACATACAGATTAGTAAGCAGGAAGTACAACTGAATCCCTGAAGGAATAAGCTTAATTATTTGCAAGTCAAATAAATACTCTTCCTTATTTAGTTTCCTTAGGATGTGGGTTAGAATGCAATTCTCTGACATGTGTAGGTTTGTCTCAGCAGAAGTTCATTCTTTGGGATATAGGTCAGAAAGCAAATCTTTGAGGTCTGTAAGATTGTCACAACACAAGTCCCTTCTTTGGGATAATGGAAGTCTCTGAGGTCTAAAGGTGTGTCATAACACAAGTTGCTTCTTTGGGATGTTGGTCAGAATTTACAGAACATATGTTGTGACATGACACCATATAATCTGCAGCCAGTAGTGTATTTAGAGCAATATAGTCTGACAGAACCGATCCATCTTCAGGCTAGTTTTGAATTCTGAGTTTTCCTTCTCTTTAACTGATTGCTACCTCAAGACCTTAGTCAGCCCTGCTATTTAACCCATAGCTAGGGGAAAAAGAGACAGATTCATACCTTTTCCAAGGGTATTTGTGCAAAAGTTAATGTAACAAACTCAAATAGAATTCAAACTTGTTTAACTTTTTCTACTACCCATGCAGGCTTGTGAAAGTTGACAAAAGAACAGTTAAATTTGTTAGATACCTCATGCTGTAGACTCTTTTAATCACCTCACCTGACTTAAAGTTATGGTTAACCTGAGGTGTAACCAATTCTATTTACCTCCATAATCCAATAGTTTTAACAAAAATTATTAAAATCTTCTTTGGTACATCACTATTGTATAATTGTCAATGTCATGGTGGAGCAGAGGGTGTAATGACTTGAGGCATCCATATTGGGAGTGCAATCCAATCAGAGAGTGAAATAAAAATTTAATTTATATTTAATTTAAATAAAGTGTTTATTTCATGTTTCATCTGTTTTTACATATTTAAAATGTCTTCCTTTCTCATATTTCTCAGTACTAGGTTCTATAGCCCCCCACCCCAACACCACTTGAGTCTTAGGGACATAAAATCAAGCAAACCCCTGCATGTCACTGTCTATGCTTCATTTTTTATATAAAGAATATTAATGCATCCAATTATTCACAATCCAAAAAGTTTTAAAGTCTTAATCAAAAGAAATCTTCATTTACAACTATTTGCCTCATACACACCTACCTGCTTCATGTCATTGCTAAAATTTTCTGTTTGAATATCATTTTTAAATTTTCTTTTGTATTTTCAATTTAGTTTATGATAAGCAGAAAGCACAACACAAATGTTAATTTTATTTTAATGGTTCATTCAAATTTTTCAACCAAAAATTGATTGAAAAATATAATTTTTTTGCTTTGTTTATTAAAGCCAAATTAGTTATTATAATTAGATACTAATATTTTTTCATATTTAGATATATCTATAAATAAACAAAGAGTGAAGGGGTGGAGCAGAGGGTGTAATTAATATTAAACTCTGTTCAGTATTTACTGCCATATAAGAGAACCAATATTGCTTAACAGTTTAAGCTACTGTAGTCAGGTATGAATGAAAACAAAAGTACAGAATCTAAATCTTTGTATCAGATATTTTATGGTAAGTGCTTTTTCTGAGCATTTTGGGTAACTTTGTACAGAAAAAGAATGAAGACTGTTGCTCAGTTTTGCAATACTTGACTATGGTAGGCCTACTGGTATTGCTCAGAAGCTGGGGTTACATTGTACAAAAGCTATATGAAAAAAATCAGGTCTTTTCACCAAAAAAATCAGAAGTCGCACTATACATGAAGTATAGTCCTAAAATCTTATTTATAAAACTTGATAATTCATCTCCAGATCTATAAGAAAAGAAGTTCTACAGGGGTACAAGAAGAGCTTGGGAACCAAAATGCAGAACAAATTAAGGTAACAAGGTCATAGAAAATTGAAAGAAACCTTAATCTATAATATTTGCAGAATATGTGACTTTTAACAGTTGTTTTTACTTATATTTTGGCTACATTATCCTATATTTTATATATGTTTTTTTCATAAATTACTTTTATGGGAGCAAGGAAAGATTAAAAAAAAAAGTCTTGAAGAATTTCCTTTTCCTGTTTTCGTCTTTGAGCTTAACCTATTCACTGCTACCTTGGTTATTTGAACTCTTACATAATGCCATCAATGTTTTTGCTAGAGTTACCATTAGGAATTTTTATATAAGATCACTTATACTTTATTTTGGTAAATAAAATAAAATTTATTAGACTATATAGAATGATAGAAATGTGTCTTCTCAGCATTGGCTTTGTTTTTCTCCATAGTGCCATGTAACATATTTGTGGGTCATGGGCTTTTTTTTATAAAAAGCAACTCAAGGTAAAAAAATAAAAATAAAAATAGCACAGAGAAAGTTTTTGTTATTTAGGAAATAAGAACTGTGGAATGTGCATTGAAGGCAATACACAACACATCAAAAAGATACACGTGTATGTTTTGCCACACAGTAAAGTTCAAGTTTGTAAATTGTTTAATAGTAATTCTCTCCAAAAAGTCTGTTAATGCAGTTAAGTTATACTGTTCAATCAAAATCCAAATTTTTGTAGAACTGGAAATATATAAATAGAACCAATATTTACCCACAAATTGGTTGCTGTTTCTGCATCTTGCATATTGAAAATAATTTAAGTTAATATGAAAATATCAAACAGAAAAGAAAAGGAATATTTATATTTTAATGACTTCTTTGTGAGAAATTACAAGCCAAAAATGGCACATCATAGTGCAATTTTTATTACTAAATTTTTAGTAATTTCCAGTTCATTTGGGCCTCCAGTTTCCAAGTAAAATTTTAAGCCTTTTGGAATATAAAATTTTACAAAACATTTAAACATTTATTCCCTAAAACAGACAACAAAGAAGTCACCTGTGTAAATTTTCGTTAATAGAAGCAGAGTAGAAAGAATACTCATGTAAAATATATTGGTTTGTGGGAGATATGATTTCCAAGCATTGGGTTCAGAAATTTTAGTATTATTTTAAACATTTACTAATAACTAAATTTGTAAATTTTTTAACTTTTAATTAACCATATTATATAAACAATAAGTTAGCCTAATTCTTTATGAGACTCTTTCTGTGTTGCTATATCCTTTCAGTGTATGGATGATTATTGTTCTATACAGGTTCCTATTTTTTGTTGCTTTCTTTTTAGGATTAGCAATTTATAAACTATAATGAAGTTTTGAAAATGTCTCAGTTTGTTTTCTTTTTTGTTAATTTAAAATATTGAATTTTTGAATTTTTTATGTTTTTTAAACTTACATTTTTACAGTCAGACTAATGTCTTTATTTTTATTGTTATAATCCTGTTTTGGCCATTTTGGATGAGGTGGTTGTCACTCATGTTGACCATAATGGCAGCCTTCAACAAGTCCTTGGTATTCATGGGGACACTAGTTGAGCTTTCTCTAAATGTCATTCCAGATATAGTAATCAGGAAGATTCAAATCAAGAAAGTTAAGAGTCAAATGTGATAGTAACAAGAAAGGTGAGGACATTAATGTGACTGTAAATAATGTAAATAATGATAACTCTTCATATAAAAATTTAGATGTAATAAAAACTTTCTTGTTTTTTATTTATTTATCATTTACTGACTTCTTTTAAAATTACGTCAGATCAAAAAATCTATTTTGGGATAAGAGGAGTTATTTCAAAGATTAAAGGGAATTAAATTTTCTTTGATTAATAAAATGATATTCTGTTATATATATATATTTTTTTTTTTTTCAGCTTCGGAATCCCCAGGAAAATTTTAAATATGCCACAGTAAAGAAGAGCGCTGTGGAAATGTATTTCAAACGCCAGGTGGAGTTGTCCACAATGTATCGTACAATGGAGAATCGTAATTATGATACTGCTGAAGAAGCAATACAAGAGGTTCGACAGGAGTGAGTCATTAAATTTAACGAATCAAAACAAACAACTAAACTTCATTCAAACTCTTTGCTTTTTTTTTTTTTTTTAAACAATTGTATTTTTGTTATTTAATTTTTAAAAGACAAATTCCATTTGTTTTTCCATCCCTGAATTATCCTGGAATAAAAAAAAACAAACAAATTTTTGTTCTCAATCAGATAACTTTTCATTTAATAAAAACAACAAAAATAGAAAAGAATTAAGTTGGGACTTACCATATTTTCTAACGTCAGGGACACTTGGGACTTGAGGGTGCACTCCAATTATTGCTTTGGTTTACTTTTTGGTCCTGAGCAAAGATTTTCTCATTGGAGAAAAACCAAAGTATTCCACCTCTTAGTTTTTTAGGTCTTTTTTTTAACAATTTCCAAGCAAGGCAATAAAGCCACTAAGATGCAAGGTTTTTTTTTTATTTTTTACAGTAAGATTCACCCTGTACAAAACCAGGCCTCACTCGAGGTTGAGGGTTATGTTAAGAGGCAATTTATAGAGATAGGAGAGGGAAGATACTGGTTAACCCTAGGCTTAAACCGGTTTAGAGTGTAGAGATTGGGGAAACATCCTCTTTGGTGTCAGCTCAACAGAGCAGTGTTTCCTAGGAAGAAGCTGTTCATGTTGAAATTACTTTTCACTGATAGAATATGGAGGGAGTGTGGGTGGTTTGCTACTATGTAAGTGGCATGGCGGGTCCTTGTGGTGAAGATTAAAACTGAGAGAATCAAGGAATGTAGTTTCCATAGAAGTAGCGATAGAGAAGTGAGAGGGTTATTGTGTGCGAGATAACATGAGAAAAAGGAAAATATTATTAAGAAGAGAGAACAATAAAAGAACAGGAATTAAAAAGAGAGTACATAATGAAGTCAATGCATTTAAATTTTTGGACATCAAACTTGACTGGAAAACAAGAAGCTGGAAGAGAGTTTCATAAGAAACAAGATGCACAAGAGAAGAAATTGTTACATCTTGCTCTGGTGTTTTAGCTTACTCAACAAGTCCTTCACTCGGATCAAATATTTCCTCCAGTCTATTCCAACATGAACTGACTTCTCTGCATCACATATGACTTGTACCAGATATCCTCATCCAGAACTCTGATGGTGTATTCTGAAACTTTGAGTTCTTTTAAAATGGCTCTGATTGACTTTCTGGGACTTTTATTATTTTATGAACATTTGAACAAAGTTGGTGTTCTGATGCTTTTAGGACCTTTAGCATGCTTTTGCATTTAGCTACTGCTATTTGATCCCTGTCAGCATAGATGGTAGATATATCTTTATCCATAGAACAGATAACTAAATAGATGCGTATAAATATATAGATAGATAGATCTATATCAATATATTATAAAATTACTGGTTTAAAAATATGGTTCCATCGCTACACAGGAATTACCATGTTTCAAAAACAGAAACTAAAAACTTCAAATTTAATTATAGAATTAAATTAAAATCCCTAGTACTGTTTCATTTTCAAGTGAATTTTGAAATAACTTATTTTGAAATTTACTGAGTTTTATAAGTACATACATTCTTAATATTAGTTGCTAAGGATATGGGGAAATTTAATCATTCTGACACACACACACACACACACACACACACACACACACACATATATATATATATATATATATATATATATATATATATATATATATAATCCTTGCAGACTGCTGCTGGTGCATAATGTCACAATTTCACTAAGTGTTAATGTCATGATTTCAGTGGCAAGTTAAATTCGAGCTGGTGTGCTAGCCTGCTATCTAAGTTGGATAATCTCTCAGAGTTAAAGGGTTCTTGTATTTTACTCATAGCTGGGGGGAAGTGCATTTATGCTTTTCCAAGGGTTATTATTTTGAAATGAACACAAATTGTCAAAACTCTGTTCATTGGTTTCATTCTCTGTAATGTTAACCATTAATCCACCTGCCCATCTAATTTTATATTAAAATTCTTAAAAAGCATAATTAATTCATTTTATAGAAAATATAACAATCTAACTAAATTTATAATATGTTTACCATTCATTGATTTCCTCTTTCACACTTTTACTTTTGTTATCAGAAGATAAGAATCAGATTAGACTAAAAATGGATTATTGCTGTCATATCTTGGCCAGAGTTACTCAATCCTTACTTCCAGCATTGATGGACTTCAATATTATGGAGGAAGACTTATTCTCTGTTCTGCAGCCTCTTTCTCACAGATGTAACTTTGCTACTCTGTCATTATTTCCAGAGAAAATGTTCATTCTTTAATTCTACCAGTTCAGACCTTTACAGCTAGTATAGGCCATGCTACTTCCACAGAATCAAATCACCCTTATTTCCTCTGTATTCCAATGTAAGGAGAAAGATTCCCTCAAACCGTTTTTTCCCAAGAACAGCTACTTTGTGGAATAGAGTCCCGTGATGGTGCTTCCCTTAATACACCATTCTTAACCTCTTGAAGACAAGTAATCATTATCTATAATCTTAACTTCCTACTATCACCTCTTTCTGTTGTAGACTCAGCATAGTTTCTGCTCTTCCCTACTGCTGTGACAATAAACTGCTCCTACTTATAAATATGGCAAGTAGCCACATTAGAGTAGGATTTGAGGAGTAGTTGATTTACTCTTCTGCTCTATATATTCTTGCTTTTCCTTACCTAATCTTACCTGTTCATAGTTTCTCTAATTATGATCTTTCTAATTCTCAGCTATTTTGTACTAACATTACAACACTTTCATTCATATCATATATTTCATCTGTTACCTTGCTTGCTTCCTGTTTTTGTTAGTAAAGTATAACACTTATTTATCATAACAACAAAGTGAGGCATTTATAATATATACATATATATATATATTATAAATTTACTAATTTAAAAATATGATCCCATCGCTACACAGGAATTACCATATTTCAAAAACAGAAACTAAAAACTTCAAATTTAATTATAGAATTAAATTAAAATCCTTAGTACTGTTTCATTTTCAAGCGATTTTTGGAATAACTTACTTTGAAAAGGGAAGAGGTTATAGAGAGAGAAGTGTATATTTTAAAAAGAAGATAAAACGCAAATGTTTTTGGTTGAAATGTAGATTTTTTATTTTAAAATATAAATTATACTCTATTTTCTATAATTCTGCTGCTACCCTGGTTTCTGGTTTCATGACCTTCTTCATGCAAAAAGTAAATATTTCCATATATTATAAAAATGAATTTTTGTGTGGTAGTGATTCAAATGTCTTTTTTGATTGATATATATATATATATATATATATATATATATATATATATATATATATGTATGTATGTATGTATGCATGCATATATATATATATATATATATATATATATATATATATATAAAGAAATTTGGCAAATGGAAAATGTGTCATTGAAAATAGATTTGTAAATGTTTCCATTTATCAAATTTATTAAAACTTTGTCTGGATTATATATATATATATATATAATATGAAAGATTTATTATCAGAAGGATTTTGTTCTACATGTTTGGTGGAGTAAGAAAGTTCTTGTAATGTGGTTGTTAGTAAATATTTCTGGTTTGTGTTTGTTTTGGCAAATGAATAGATTATTTGGAAGTGATACGTCTATCAGTAAAAGGCAATATTAAACATGAGAAAGTGATATTTGGGTAAGTTGACTTATCTGTGGTTTTCATTTCTGGAGCTGCTCAATTCTGCGTGCTCTCTTTGCGAGGGTCCAAATAAAAACAGGAAGTCTCTAAATTTCCTACCAGTAAGACAGTTTCCTTTTTTTTATGAAATCAGAGGAATCAGATTATTTTTTTATTTCTCATGATCGCGAGATCACTACGCATCCATCATCACTATTTTAACAGTAATACTCTTCCTTGAGTGACTCATGCCTTGTATTGAGTAAACTTTTATTATAAAAAAGATTCTAAATGAATTTATAGGCAACACATTCTCTCCTGATTTACTTGACCAAGATGTCGTAATATAATCTTTGCATGTCATGAAAGATTCCAAGACTCTACTATTTGCTCTTTGTAATAGTGTCTTTTATAAAAATTATAAAATAATCCAAACTGTGACATTTTATTTACTTTTAATGTTTTGTAGAAAACTACAGGCTTTTATTTGGGACTCTTCCCGATTAGAATTTGAAGCGGCCAATGACTGTGAACTCGTCACTGCTGGTGAATTATTTGGACGTTCTGGATATGGGATTGGTCTCCGGAAACATAGTCCTTGGACACAGGAAATCTCACTAGCCATTTTAAGCTTCCATGAAAGTAAGTCCTAATATTTTATTTGCTTATCTTTAGGGATTTTGGCATAAGTGTAATATGACAAAATAACTTGATTGTAATGCAATGCCAGGTTATTAGATTTTTTCTTTAATCTATTGCCATGATGAAGAAAAAGTATAATGCAAAAACAGTAGATTCACTGATTTGCTTTTCAGGAAGCAGTTCCACTACAAATTTGAAGAAATCGTGGTCATAGCAGAATCTCTCTAAATATGAGCACCACATACACATACGAACACTCATATGAACACAATATATAAATATGTAATGCAATATATATATATATATATATACACACATATATAAAAAGGTTTCAGAAAAAAAAGAGAACAAAGCTACTAAATTATTTTTCTATAAAATTTATTATTATTATTATTTTTCTGTCAATAAAGTTTCTAATCATTTTGTCTTTTCTGACTACAGTGAGATTAAAAGCAATTAAATAAAAATATTTTTTCATAACTTGACCCTAATACTCATTCAGATATATATATATATATATATATATATATATATATAATCTACCGCTGATGTGCTTATGGCCATAACTGAATATCTATATAAAGCTCTTGATAATAATGGTGAAGCTCAAGCTGTTCCTCTAGATATATCAAAGGCGTTTGGCATGCCGGCCTTCTATATAACAGTATTACAAGACAATTATTTGATTTAATCCAATCATTCCTGTCTAACCATGAAATGAAGGTTGTACTGAAAGGGTTCTCTTCCAGTTCCTTTCATACGAACTCTGGTGTTCCTCGAGACTCTATCCTTGGTCCTACACTGTTTCTGATCTTCATCAATGATCTTCCTGATGTCATCAGTTCTCAAGTCAGTATCTATGCAGATGACATTAACATTTATTCCTGTCTCAATAGTAAATTTGGCATTGTCCATTGATCTCGAAAATGACCTCCAATCTGTGGTTGACTGGGAAAGGAACAGTCTTGTGAATTTTAATGCATCCAAAACAATCCTCTGTCATTTACTCACCATACAGAAACTTCCCTACCTCCTATCAGCATGGCTGATGCTCAACTCCATGAGAGTGACTCACTGCCCCTTTTTGGTCTCATGTTTTCCACTGACATGATGTGGAACAACTACACTGAATCAATAGCTGCATCTACTGCAAGGAAAGTTAGTGTCGAGCCAGAAGGTTTTTCTCATCTGAGTCCATTTGTCAAGAATCAAACCTCTATCCTATACAGAACTGTCATTAAGCCTGACATGCTATGACGATTCAGCCACAGAGAACTTCCAGTTAGCAAAGCTCAAATTACTAAATTAGGTTAGATTCCTGGTGGATATCCATTTGTACTAACGCAGATATTCCCCAGACCTCCATCCTTGGTCCTACTCAGTTTTTTAATTTTCTTTAATGATCTTTCTGATGACATCATCACTCAACTTGGCATATGCACTGATGACACAACAATTTATGCCTGCCTTGACAGTAAGGCTTATCAGTCTGACAAGTTCAAAATGGCAGCCAATGTCCAAAACAACTTCAAGTCTGACATTAACTGAGACAAAAGATGGCTTGTTAATTCTAATGCTTCCATAACTAAACTTCTCTCTATTAATCATTCTGAGAGACCCCTCACTGCCTTCCATCAGTATGGCTGATGCTAATCTCCAGGAAAGTGACTCATTGCTCCTTCTTTGGCTCACGTTCTCTGCTGATATGAAGTGGAAAAACTATATTGAAACCATTGCTAGGTCAGCTACTAAGAAAGTCTGTTCACTATGTTGGGTGAGACAATTTTTCACTCCAGAATCTATCTTACATATCTATAAATCTACCATTCTTCCACATGTAGAATATTGCTGTCACATATGGTCTAGTGCTCTATCTATTTACCTTGAGCTCCTTGGTAAAATCCAAAGAAGAATCAGCAATATTATTGGTCCTGAACTGGCAGCTTGTCTCCAGTCACTTTCTACCATCATAAGATTGTCTTTCTATGTCTTTTCTATAAATACTTTCATGGTAATTATTCAGATGAGTTCTTCACTATTGTACCTAGACTTTTTAAATTTAAGTGCAGCAATAGATTAGCGTCGAGATCTCATCAATTTAAAGTTGAGCTGGCTAGATGTAGCTATAAGTTCTATGTTAACAGTTTCTTTTCTCACACTTCTCACTTGTGGATCTCTCTTCTGACTCCATGCTTTCTTGCTAACTTTAATCTGCAAAAATTTAAATACAATATCATTTGTCTTTCTGATTACTTTTTTCTTTCCACTCATCATTATTGTTTCTGTTCCTAATTCTTCCACATCCTGTAAGCCCTTGTATTTTAGTGGCATTACTACTTTGATTGAGGTGATACTGATTATATATATATATATATGTGTGTATATATATATATATATATATATATATATATATATATATATATCAAGGGCTGCTGAAAATTTCTTTTCCCCTAATATTCTGATTTAGTCAGATTTTGGGAAGTGCAATCCTCTTCAAAAATCTGATCAAATCAGAATTTTTCTACACCCCGTTATGTGTGTGTGTTTGTGTGTAATTGGAAACATAATTAAGATCTTTTCTTTTTTTTAAATCATTTCACCCCATGCAAGGCAATAACATCAGTAAGACACAAGGAGTTAATGTTTTTCTTTTTCTCATATTCTTTCACACTCAGTAATCCCTTGCATCTTAATGTTTTTATTGCCTTGCTTGGAGTGAAATGAATAAAAATAAAACAAAGAAAAATGTTACATAAAATAAATAATGGCATAGTACAGGGGTGGCCAAGTGTGCTTAATGTAAGAGCTACAAACGATAAAGTTCAGATGTTTGCGAACCACAAGACATGAACAAAATTTACACTTGCATTTTTGTTACATTCACATTTTGTTACAAAATTTTTATGTAAATATTAAGAAATGTATGTATGTATGCAATAATATTTATTTTTGTATGCAGTTTTTAAACTGTTAATTTGTATTGGCTTCAGTAATCACAAACTACACACACACACACACATATATATATATATATATATATATATATATATATATATATAATTATTAATTTAAAAATATGATTCCAAATCGCGACATAAGAAGTATCTTCCGTTTCAAATTTAGACACCCCACCTTTCCCTGACTTGACATCTATGAAAGTAACTCTATACTGATACTTATTATTAACACCCAACACCCGCCTACCCAACTTAAACAATTCGCCCTAGCTGTTACCATGGAAATTTTGATTTCAATTTTTAAAACACGTAAATTTCAGAAACACGTTATTCCAAAAAAAAAAATTTCGCTTGAAGATGGAACAGAGCTTATTTTAACTCAATTTAATTTAAATAATTATATTGAAGTTTTCGGCTCTTGTTTTGAAACATGGGACTTCTTATGTCGCAATTTGGAATCATATTTTTAAATTAATAATTATATTTATGCTCTACTTTTGTATTGAGCACTATTTTTTAAAAATAATAACTAAAATACTAAGGGACTTTGGATTATTTACCTAACCAGTTCCTTCCTATTTTCTATATATTTTCACACACACATATATATATATATATATATATATATATATATATATATACACACACCAAATGTTTTCATTATCTTGACTGATGATTGTTTTACTTTTAACCATATTGAGTGTATTTAATACAGTAATAAATTATGGGAACTTCTAACAAAAATGTCCAAATTTGCATTTCAATAACATAAAATTAGACTGTCAAAAATAACACTAAAAAGGACAAAAAATTATATTTTTTAATTATATTTATATCTTATATATTCTTAAATATTTGTTGTAACCAAGGAAGGGTTACTGAATGAGGAATAACCAAAACGGAGGTTGGAAATGAAATGGTAATCTTTATAACATCAACAAAAAACAATACTTACCAGCAGCGTAAAGTGGGTAAACCACTGCTAGTGGTGGACTACTTAGACAGCATATTACCCCCCACTCACAATAGTGTCCAACATATTTATGAGAATTGGGACATACACATTAGTGTTCATAGGTTCAGTATATAACAATATTTTTACTAACGTTAAACATTTAATCCAATGGGGTCTCAATAAATAAATAATTATAAAGCTTGAGATTATAAAGCAGTAAATAATTATAAAGCTTGAAATTTTTCTTATTTACTTTTTTATATATAAACTATGATAAAAAAAGGAGCTCAACCAAAATATTTCCACAAGCCACATATTAAAGAGCAAAGAGCTGGATGTAGCTCATCAGACACGGTTAGGCCTCCCCTGGTATAGTACAACAGGGCATGAAATAAATAATAGAATATAATGTAATAACATCAGTGGTATAAAATAATGAAATTAAAATAGAATGTAATGAAGATATAAAAATGAAAGCTCAGGATAAGCTCAAATGTCCACTTGAAGGAAATTATCATAAATTTATCACCTAAAGGAGATTAGTAGGTGCATAACTGAAGAAGTTTGTATAAAAAAAACAACAAAGAACAAAGATGAGGAAATTAATCCGAATCAAGCCACATGACTTAGTGACTTAGTATTCAAAGTTTATTCAAAAGCAAGAAGCTGGAAGAGAGTTTCTCAAAGGGGAAGTGTGCAAAAACTGTTAGCATAGAACTTATGATTACATCTAGCAATTTCAACTGTAAAATGGTGAGACCTACTTTCCAATCTAGTACTGCGCTTAAATCCAGGTATCAATGTCAAAAGTTTGAGATAACAAAGATGAAAGCTCATTAGAACAATCACCATGAAAATATTTATAGACAAGGCAGAGAGAAGATTCATTATGTTGGTGAGAAAGGGACTGAAGCTGAGCTGTCAGGTCAGGACCAATAACATTGCAGGTTCTTTGGATTTTGAATAGTTTTAAAAGAATTCAGAAGGCATGACAGAACTTATAAAATAATTATTGTAGATATTTCAAATTATTTTAATTTCTTACTACCAAGTTAAATGCTTAAGACCACGAGCAGCAAAGTTGTTTA